CTTCTTATTAAAGAGACATGAAATTAATTATGTTTCTGTGAAATTAATTTCATGTCTCTTTAAAATTGAAGGGCAGGACATGTAGCATAATTAATTTCATGTCTCTTTAATAAGAAGGGCAGGACATGTAATGCTAGTTTCACGTTTCAAGTTTAACAAATTAATCGTAAATCATTAAAAACAGATTTTATGGTAGACAATTAGGTGTTGTTGAAGTTTTTTAAAACCAGATTGTATATTAATATTCGGAAAAAGAAATTAATCAAGTTTTAATTAAAGTAAATAAAGCTTTTTTATTATTATTGTTGATTGAAGTTAATCAAAATTTTAATAAAAGAATTTTAATCTAAGTATTGAAGCAAAAAATTCCATCGAAATTTGTGTGTTTTTATTTTTTGGTTTATCGTTTTTAAGTGGAACCCAAGATTTTCATCGAAGAAAATGCAATTACTTTTTGGATTTCATTGAAGTTTGTTGATTGTAATCACTTTGTAGAGATGTCGTTTTAACCACCCCTAGAATTTTAATCAAAGTATTAAAGCAATAAAAGAATTTTAATCGATGTATTAAAGCAAATAATTTCATCGAAGTTTGTTTGTTTTAATTTTTTGGTTTATCTTTTTCTTAGTAAAGAAAATTAATCTGAGATTTATTGTTTTTCTTAGTCTCTGTAGCATCATTTTCTTTGTACAGGTTGATGGTTTGAAATTTAGAAACTTCAAAAAAAACAAGTCTCTGATATTAATGTCTTTTTTTTTTCTTGCAGTTTGACGTTTAGATTGAAATGGAGAATAGTTATCTAAGTGGTCATGAAATTGATGTTGCTGATCAGTATGGATCCAGTTTGCAAGTCTCTAGTGATTCCAGTTTGTTAATTCCAAATTCGATTGATTTCTTAGCTGTGAAAGAAGACGATTTGATAAGTGAAGATGAAGATGAAGATGTAGTCACCGAGTTCGAAGAAAAAGAAGATGACATAGGCGACAAAAAGGATTATGTTCAAACTGAAGAAGTCTTTGCTTTAGAAGCAAACAAAGAAACTGAGAAGAAAGATGAACTCTGTATTGGAATGGAGTTTAGTTCTGATGAGACTGCACATATGGCTTATAAAAACTATGGAGGCAAACATGGTTTCAACATAAGGAAACAACGGAGAAAGACAAAAAACGGTAAGGTTGTAAGGCTTCTTTATGTTTGCTCAAAAGAGGGGTTTAGAAAGGAACCTAAGGTCAAGCAATCTTACTCACAGCCAATCACACGATGTGGTTGTAAAGCTCATATGACTTGCTACCTTCAGAAGACCGGAAGATTTAAGATTGTGTCTTTCGATCCGAATCATAACCATGATTTAGTGATGACACCTATGAAGCATTTGTTGAAGAGCAATCGTGCATTTTCTTTGGCTCAAACAAAACATGCTGATGATGCCGAGATGTCAGGAATTTCAGCAAAAGCAACTGTTGAAATGATGAGTAGAGAAGTTGGGGGGTGAGCAAATCTGGGTTTCATGGAGAAAGACTATCGAAATTACATATATCGAAAGCGAATGGAAAAAATGGAAAAGGGAGATGCTGGAGCAGTTTTAGAATACTTTCAAAGAAAAAAGGAGGATAATTCATCTTTCTTTTATTCGATGCAACTTGATGAAGACGATATGATCACTAATATATTTTGGGCAGATGATCGGTCTATAAGTGATTACAATCTTTTTGGAGATGTCGTTTGCTTTGACACAACATATAAGACCAATGAATATGATAGACCCTTTGCTCCATTTATCGGGGTCAATCATCATAAGCAAACAGTTGTGTTTGGGGCTGCTCTATTATATGATGAAACCACAGAGTCATTTAAGTGGCTTTTTGAGACTTTTCTTGGAGCAATGTCTGGAAAACAACCAAAAACAATTCTGACAGACCAATCTGCAGCAATGGCGAATGCAATAGTGAATGTGTTTCCTGAAACAAAACATAGGTTATGTGTTTGGCATATTTACCAAAATGCAGCAAAGAAGTTGAGTCATGTATTTCATGGAGCAGAAAAAGTTTTGCCACAGACTTTTGGAAAAGTGTGTATATGATCATGAGGAAGAAAGAAAGATTTGGTTGCTGGCATGGCATGATATGCTTAAAAAGCATAAATTGACAGAGGATAAATGGTTAAAGAATTTGTTTGAAGTTAGAGAAAAATGGGCAATGGTATATGGACGTCAAACTTTTACAGCAGATATGGTGAGTACACAGCGTAGTGAAAGTATGAATAATATTTTAAAAAAATATCTGAGGCGTAGCTATGACTTGTTGTCCTTCTTTAAACACTATGAGAGAGTATTAGATGATCGGCGTTATAAAGAATTAACTGCTGACTTCAATATGATGCATACCTCGCCGGTATTAAGTGCTACTGTAGAGATGTTGCAGCATGCTGAGGAAGTGTATACACCAGAAGTTTTTACCTTGTTTCAGAAGCAATACGCAGTTATCGGTGATTATGTTGCAAAAAAGGTTAGTAAGTCTAATATGGTGTATGAATACAAAGTATCATATCATGGTGAAGCGCGAGAGCATTTGGTTAGTTATGATGCTACAAACCAAATAATACATTGTAGCTGCATGAAGTATTCTTTTGCTGGGATCTTATGTCGCCATACGTTGAAAGTGTTGGATAAGAAGAATGTTAGAAGAATTCCATCTAACTACATTCTGAACCGATGGAGTAAAAAGGCAAAAGCACGAATCATATCTTCTTATTGTTCAGAAAAACCTAATGAAACGGTGAATCAATCGATTGGAAAGCGATATAGCCACTTATGTCGCAATTTTCGTGATATTGCATCTGTTGCTGCTGAACATATAGAATTGACATTGTGTGCAAATGAAGCTGCCTCTTAGTTGCTTAAAACATTGGAAGAAAAGAAAAAAGAACTTGTGAAAGCTAATGCATGGATGCTCCCAACTTCAGATGTGAAACATGTGGAAGAAGAAGAAAAAGATTACAACGAAGTTCCAAATGCACGTGGTATTAAAAGAAAAGCTTCCGTTGGACGACCAAAGAACCAAAAAGTCGGACCCCATGGTCGATATTTGAATGTTCTTGAAGTAAAAAAACGTGGATCATCAAAATCATCAAATATTACTACTGCAAAGAAAAAGTTATCATTTCAGGTATTTGATAAGTAATTTTTTTTTGTTCAATTTCCACTAAAACGTGATTCTTTATATTATTGTATATTAATTATGATTTTGATAATATATATGTATATTAATTATTGAATAAATTTGATAAATATTTCAGGATACTACTCTTACTCTTGATACCCAGCTTTGTGGTACTACCAGTTTGACTTTACAGAATGGACCATTTTTCTCACAAGTTGTCCAGGTAAATACTTCATTTTGTTAACTATTTTTATCGTCTTTTTTATATCAATATATATATATATATTATAGTAATTATTGGATAATTTTGATAAATGTTTTAGGACACAGCTCGTACTCTCGATACCCAATTATCTGGTGCTAACACCAGTTCGACTTCACAAAGTGGACCATATTTCTCACAAGTGCTCGAAGTAAATATTTCATTATATTTATTATTTTTTATCGTCGTTTTTTCTAAATATAACTATATATTAATTATTAGACAATTTTGATAAATATTTAGGATACAACTACTACTTTCGATACCCAGTTATCTGGTGCTACCATTAGTTCGAACTTACAAAATGGTCAATTTTTATCACAATTATTCAAGGTAAATACATTATTGTTTATTATTGTTTTTTGTGTCATTTTAAATATTTATATTTTGAGTAATCTGTCATTTTTTAAATAATTTTAAATTTTATTTTTGTTAGGAATTTGACAAGAGTTATGATGGTTCATCATAAAAAAAAAAGAAATATCAGAGACAATGAAAAACAAAAAAGGAGAAGAAGCAAAAAGGAGAAACTAAAAAAGCATTAAAATTAAATTTATTTTTTATTTGAGATTTAGACATTCAGTTTATTTTTTTATTTGAGATTTAGACATTCAGTTTTTTTTATTTGAAGATTAACATTTATTTTATTTTCTATCGAAGAAAAGAAATTAACTTATTTTGATTGGTCAAAAAAAAGAAGTAAAATATTAATTTAAAATAAAACTTACTAAACAAAAAAAAAATCCCCTAGCATAAGTATCCATCGTGTATCTGAAAATTTTCTTCTTAAAATCATGGGTCCCACAATTATTTAATTGAGTTAGTAATTAATTGTTTTTTATTTAAATAAAAGAGATGGTTTATTTTGATTGGTTAAAAGGGAAGGAGGTGAATAAAAGGGTTCACCCATAGGGGTGAACCCAAGAATTGTTCTTAAAAAAATTGATCAGAATCGAACCGGGATTTCGACTGGTTAAATACCATTTGGGATTAGAAGGCGTGATTAAGTTCCGGTTTGGAAACAGAGTTGGTTTATTAATTTGTTATGACTTATAAGTAAGCAAGGAACATTGGGCAGTTGAAACATTTGATAAAATACCACATCTTAATAAAATATATCATTCCAAACGATTATTCAAAGAACATAACACCATGATAAATTAATGAAAAATACAACAACAAAAAAAGACATTACATGTTAGAGGTCACCTCTTTTCCTTTTGCCTCGGGCTGACTCGATTTGAATCAAACTTGGAACATAATTAAGAATAGCTGGCGAACATATGTTATTTCAAGTCCAAAAGCCACTTGTGTGACTTTATTATCCTCCCCAACAATGTATATCACGTCTTTGTTCTTGTTCTTGGTCTCGGTCTCGTCTTCCAAGTCAAGCCAATACTCACAAATCATGACGACTTTCTTGTCCTCGTCGAGCAAGAAATTTGTATCGTAAACAATTTGAAGATCAGGGCTCAAATCCAAAGCTAAGACCTTGCACGGAAAAGCAAGTTTCACAATCAGAAGAGAAAGGTAAAGGAAGTAGAGTCAGAAACATTCACGCCAACAAGAGATCTTTAGTGATAAGATTTTGTCAGAGTTACACATGTACCTTGCGATATAACGAAGTAAGAATGGCATCGACTCGCTCCATAGATAGAATCACAACATCGATGAAGCAAGTTATCTCAAGATCGGGCAACCAGTACACAACAAGTACTTGATAAATCGAACAGAGCACATAGTTCATAGACTAGCTAGTCGAGCTGTCAGAAAACTTTGAAACCAACTCCTAGTAGCAGAAAAGATTTACATCACAATAGTTGAGAAGAAAACCAATGATCTCTTATTGAAGAAAAGGAACTTAACCCTGCCTAATGGTCTCCAATTTCGACGCAGCAATAGAGAAAGCCTTCAATCGTAAAAACTAAAGGTAATTACTATTTTGAATAGAAACATGAAAAGATCATTAAAAATATATCATCTATGGACTTTCTTAATATGTGTGTTTTTACTTAATTAAAAATCAATGAAAATGAAACAGTGGGAGTACTATGTTTTGTTGGTACGTATGAATCGTGACAAAGGGATAGAGCGTTAGATTGGGATTGCGATTGCGATTACGATTGTCCTTTCCAAGTTTGTATTTGTGAAGCTTCTGATTAAATGCAATGTTCTCAGCTTAAAACAAATAAACTAATGATGAATGATGACATTGTATTTCAACTAAACTACAACTCTAGTCCGATGAGAACCTAACTATATAATTAGAATAAAACATAAACAAAGAAGTATCAAATTGTATCATCGAATGAATTAGGCTAAACACAAAGGTCAAAGTCAACGACCATTTGAATCATTAAGAAACTTTTGTGTATTGCATGCACGTCTCCTCCCTGGACCAGCGAAGCTTGTTGCTACAATGCTACGTTTACTTTTATATTCAAGTATGTTGTAAAATTTGGGCATTTGGGACCATTTTGATCTTCCCAATCCTTTTAAAATGGTATAAAAATATAAAATCACTTTTCCACGTTGTAACCTATTTAATTCAGTTTGCAGAATAACCAATTAAGTTTAACCGCTAAACTAACATAAAACTTGTATGAACTACCGATCTGATATATGTTTGACTTTTAAATTGGTTACAGTTTTCGGAATAAATAGTGACGGAACTAAAATGAAAAAAGTAAAAACTTTGAAGATAAGTAAATGTTTTGGAATCTTTTTTTTCTTAAGCATGGAAGATTTTGTTAGAAAACCAAATTCCAATCAAAGCTGAAACTGCATCAAACCGAACTAAACCGAGTTATTATTCAATTTGAAATTTATATTTATAACCTAAAAACCTAAACAAAAGGCCGAACCAAATTTGAATTGAATACAAGAGCCAAACCCAAGTATTTGCTTATATCCGATTTATATATAGACAGAAAAGAAAGAGATATTATTAGTTAGTGCATACGTACGAATACAACGTTAGAAATGTAACATTGGCGTAAACTAAAAGGCACTGAAAGATCAAGGGGAAACTTGTTGGATCGTTGAGTTTTAAATGTTTGTAGAATGTAAATGAAATCATATACTTATTATTTTAATTGTATTTTGGTTGCAAACAACTACTGACTCTGTTTATTTAAGTTTTGCACAAGTTGACCTTCTCAACAACGTCGTGCTTATTTGTTAATAACAATTTCCATTCTTGCAGAGATATCTCAAAAGCTAAAAAAAGGAAGAAGAGGTATCTCAAAAAGCTATCTTATTTTTTTCTGTAAATGTCTATCTCCTTTGTATCATAGTCCATAGGAGGATAATGGAGAGACAGCCTCAATCACTTCTGTTATGTGCGTTGATCTTCATCAGCTTTTTTGCCCTTTTACATCTCATTGAAGCTCAAGACCAACAAGGTATTAAATACACATATTTTTAATGTTCTTTTCGTAACATTTTGCATCCAAAAATTGTTTCTTTACTTGTTCCACTACATTTTGCTCATATGTCTTATCCTAGGATTCATCAGTTTGGATTGCGGGTTGTCTCCAAACGAGCTTCCTTACAACGATCCTTTAACCGGATTAACATACTCAACGGACGATGGTTTTGTGCAAAGTGGCAAAACCGGAAAAATCCAAAAGGAGTTCGAGGCAATCTTCAGTAAACCGGCTTTAAAGCTTAGGTACTTCCCAGATGGAGTCCGAAACTGCTATACCGTGAATGTCACGCAAGGCACTAACTATCTGATAAAAGCCGTATTTGTTTACGGTAATTACGATGGCCTAAACAATTACCCGAGTTTTGACCTTTACCTTGGTCCTAATCTTTGGTCAACGGTTGATATGAATGGACGAGCCAATGGTACTATCGAGGAGATCATCCACAAGACCACATCTAACACTCTCCAAGTCTGTCTCGTTAAGACAGGGACAAGTACTCCTATGATTAATACCTTAGAGCTACGACCACTTAACAAAAATACTTACAATACTCAGAGCGGCTCGCTGAAGTATTTCTTCCGATATTATTTCAGCACTTCAGGCCGAAACATAAGGTATCACTCATGCCTTTTGATTTTGTCGGTTGGGTTCAAGCTTTTCCGGTTTTGTGAAAACAATTCCAAACTATATCCAAGTTTTGTTTCAGTTCGGTTTGAATATAATCTATATTTTTAGTATATCTAGGTGTGGTGCACAAAGAAAAGAAATAGTATATCTAGGTGTATTTATCATTTTATTGTTAGTCTATAAAACAAGGTTATTATAATTTTTTAGGTATCCAAATGATGTCAATGATCGTAAATGGTATCCATTCTTCGATTCGAAAGAGTGGACAGAAGTAACCACCGATCTCAATGTTAACACTTCTAATGGTTATCAACTACCACAAATCGTAATGTCATCTGCCTCAACGCCTATAAGTACCTTTGCGCCATGGAACTTCACCTGGTTATTGCCATCTTCCACGACCCAATTCTATATTTACTTACACTTTGCCGAGATTCAAACTCTACGGTCCCTCGATACCCGAGAATTCAACGTGACACTTAATGGGAAACTTGCCTATGCACGTTATAGTCCTAGAACGTTAGCCATGGAAACTATATTCTACTCCACACCACAACAATGTGAAGGAGGGAAATGTATCTTGGAGTTAAAGAAGACGCCCAAGTCTACTCTGCCTCCTCTCGTTAACGCTCTCGAGCTTTTCACCGTGATAGATTTCCCGCAGCTGGAAACAAACCAAGATGATGGTATGTCTATATAAACTAGTCCTCTATATTGATTACTATGGGTTGATTATATATTAATACTAACTAAAATTTTTATCGTAGTGGTTGCTATAAAGGGTATCCAAAATACTTATGGATTGAGTAGGATTAGCTGGCAAGGAGATCCATGTGTCCCTAAACAGTTCTTGTGGGATGGTTTAAACTGCCAAAGTGCAGATATTTCCACACCACCTACAATCACTTTCTTGTAAGATCAATCTTTATACTATTGTGTTAGTTGTGTCACAATGTTTTGTCATCTGTACATGAAATTGTTTCATGGATATGTCTTTAGAAACTTATCCTCTAGTCATTTAACGGGGATCATCGCGCCTCACATTCAAAATCTAATCCACCTACAAGAATTGTAAGTATCTCAAAATTTTGCAATGAGCATAACAAAAAAAACAACAACTTGTTCACCTTAATGTATCTTATTTATAACATATTGCTAACTTACAAATGCTTAATTTAGAGATTTGTCAGATAACAACTTGACGGGCGGAGTACCTGAGTTTCTTGCCACCATGAAATCACTCTTGGTCATGTGAGTCGCTTTTGAGACTACAACTTTTATGTATGTTAGCTTCCTTTATTTATAAGATTGCTTATGTTCTTGATTATGTGTCTAAATTAACAGAAATTTAAGTGGGAACAATCTTAATGGCTCCGTTCCTCAAACCCTTCTACAGAAGAAAGGACTAAAGTTGAGGTAATTTTGTTTTTAATCTATCATATTTTCTTCATCATGACTATATAAAACTACTTGATGCATTTATGTTCAACTATCCTAACCAACACTGGTGACCCACAGTCTTGAAGGAAACTCAAATCTTATTTGTCCGGATGGATTATGTGTAAACAAAGCTGGGAATGGTAGTTCCAAGAAAACGAGTGTTGTAATACCGGTTGCTGCATCGGTCGCATTCGTGGTGGTTCTTGGATCTGCATTGGCTTTCTTTTTTGTTTTCAAAAAGAAAAACACATCAAACAGTGAAGGTATACACACAAAAGAAAACTTTTAATTTAATATATACATTGCGACATATTCATGATAAGTATATGCAAAGTCTCATTAGACTGATATGCATTGTAGTAACATTAGGTTCTTCATCATATACGCAAGTATCAGATGATAGAACAACCAGATCTTCAGAACCGGCAATCGTGACAAAAAACAGAAGATTTACTTACTCAGAGGTTGTAACGATGACAAATAACTTTGAAAGAGTCCTTGGTAAAGGAGGATTTGGAATGGTCTATCATGGAACTGTAAATGGTAACGAACAAGTAGCCGTTAAAATGCTCTCACACTCATCTTCTCAAGGGTATAAAGAATTCAAAGCAGAGGTAACTTTTGGCAAAATGTTAGTAAATTCGTAGAAAACATCAATGTGCTTTTTTGTTGTTGGAACATTAGTGGTATGTCGAATTTTGATTATATGGTTCTTCTACTCTTCTAGGTGGAACTTCTTCTCAGAGTTCACCACAAAAATTTGGTTGGCCTTGTCGGATATTGTGATGAAGGAGAAAATTTGGCTCTTATCTACGAGTACATGGCTAACGGAGACCTGAGAGAACATATGTCAGGTAAATATAATGAATTGCTACAACAACAACAACAACAAAAAAAAAAACATGTTTGTTTTTTGTGTTTTCACATATTCATATTTTGGTTCAAATATATGTAGGAAAACGAGGTGGATCTATTCTGAATTGGGAAACTAGACTAAAAATAGTCGTCGAATCTGCACAAGGTTTTATATGAATGCTCATATATATAATTTCTTGTTATCTTCTTTTTTATGACTTGCTTTAAAAACCTTGATGAAAATGAACCTTTTTGCATAGGGTTGGAATATTTGCATAATGGATGCAAACCACCAATGGTTCATAGGGATGTCAAAACCACAAATATATTGTTGAATGAACATTTTCAGGCCAAGTTAGCTGATTTTGGGCTTTCGAGATCTTTTCCGATTGAAGGAGAAACTCATGTCTCAACGGTTGTTGCTGGAACTCCTGGTTACCTTGATCCAGAGTAAGTGTTATAAATTAATTTAAAGATGAATTTTTTTTTTTGTTTCTCATCATTTTATAGCATAATCGATACCACTATTTTTCTTTTTCTTTTTAGCATATTTTCTCGTCTTCTAATGGCTTAATGTAACAATTTTGCAGATATTATCGAACAAATTGGTTGAATGAAAAAAGTGATGTTTATAGCTTCGGAATTGTACTACTAGAGATCATCACAAACCAGCCTGTTATCAATCAAAGTCGTGAAAGAGCACATATAGCAGAATGGGTGGGGGTAATGCTTACAAAAGGAGACATCAAAAACATTATGGATCCAAAACTCTATGGAGATTATGACAATGGTTCTGTCTGGAGAGCAGTTGAACTAGCAATGTCGTGTCTAAATCCATCTTCATCTAGAAGACCAACCATGTCTCAAGTTGTTATTGAATTGAACGAGTGTTTGGCAAATGAAAACTCAAGAGGAGGAACAAGTCAAAACATGAACTCACAGAGCTCTATAGATGTGAGCATGAATTTTGATATTGAAACTACCCCTGGAGCTCGCTAAACTGCAAAAGCTATCTTATCTTTTGGTTCTATTGAGTGGATTTTCTTTATCTGAAATAATTAGAGAATATTAATTTCTGTCATTTGTCAATGTGATTGATACTGCAAGCAAAAAATTCTTCCAATTCTTTATAATTCATGTTGTTGGCTTATCCCACTTAGTTATTATTTAGAATAATGTATTTACTCGTGGATTTATCGATTTGAGGAACATTACGTAAGTCTAATCCACGATCACCCAGAAAATTCACTAAATGTTACATTTGCTATAATACTTAACAACCAGCTAAAACCACGATTTTTAACCAATATCGAAGTTTCGCTTCTCCCAATATCGAAGTTTCGCTTCTCCCAATATCGAAGTTTCGCTTCTCCTTAACCAGGTTCGGTAACCTTCCGGCTAAACCGAGATTCCGAAGGCACCAAACCAACATGTCTAATCTGATTTGGTTCAAAGTATCCAAGCTCGAGCCCGGGATGAGATAATTGAAATGAGAGTGACTTGTTCTATACGTTTCATCTATGAAAGTTTGATATGTGTGTAAATTTCAGTTAATATAATGGTTTCGAAATATTTGCTAATTTTTCAAAAAACATTATAAATTAATTATACCAGTACATTATTTTGATATTAAAAAGGTACGATATAGTGGTACGTACGTCTAGTAGCATATTATTAATAAATGCGTATAATTTAACGGAAAGACTATCAGTGTATGTTATGTGAAATTGGTTATAAAGATATAACTATATTACTTTATCCCTTTATTTAAAAAAAAAAGTAAAGGAAAAAAAGAAAGTCCATATGGATTTTCTGAAAGAAGAACAAGTTGAGGAATAATTAATTAAGTAGAAAGGATGATAATGGAGAGATATATACATCACATCTGTTGATGATTGTGGACAACTGGATGCTGTTTTCCTTAATTATAAACGAAGAAGTTGCCAAGTTGATGAAGTCAAAAATATTCAGCTTTCGTCATCAAATGTGTATCCTCTGATTTGAGAAGATACGTTTGTTCTTGGTTTTATTTTATTTTCCTCTATAATCATAATTTTAGGACTACAAATAATAATATGGACGTGTGTGCTAATCAATAAGGTTGTTGGTTTGATTTGCGGACCATGTTTTCTGTACTAGAATTTTGGAGGATGTTCTCTTGGAATTCTAATGATTAGTAGGACCAAAATCTCGGATTTATTAAGATATATAAAGACTAATTAAGGTTATGTTAAACTTTCCAAAAATAGGTTGCTTCACAGGGACATCTTTGTCTAAAACGTTACATGGAAACAAACAAAAGACCATAACCGTTCAATTAAAAAAAAAGTCAACAAGTATGATATCGATCCCTCTTATCTCCCCAGCTTGCAAACTCCATCGAATCCTGACTTTTCCTTTTATCATTATATATCTATATAATTTTATATTGTTGTCTTTAGAGTTTTCTGTTTGTTGGGGGTCAACTTGAATATATGATTTAATGATATTAAATAATGAATTATATTTTACCTACTGAATCACCCAATTTATAATTTGAACTCAATGTTGGTCGTTATAGCCTTATAGGTAACTTTTTCATAATAAACTACCAAACCCTAGTCGAATCCAAGTTGCAACTCCGATTGCTTCATTGCTTTGATGACTTCTTTAATCAGAGTTCAGTTGATAACTAAGAAAAAAAATGGAGTACATTGTTTTGAGTTGATAACCTTTAATTACACAATGGATTTAAAATTATATCCATAGCCAGTTAAAATAAGCTCTGCTAGACTTTTGCAGATAAAAATCTAGCAGCAATTAAAAATTCAATAAGACGGTTTATGTTGTTAATTTTCTTTCTAACAATATATGTTCTATCAAATTTGAAAACTAAATAATACCATAATATCAACATTAATACAAACTGCTAAAGTAAATGAATTTTTTTACATACTTAAACTAGAAATTGGATAAACCATATTTATATCCACACATTAGACTATTTTGCGTGTTGATTTAGATACAAACTCATTTAGCATATGTTTGAATATTTGAGTTCATAATATTTTAGAAAGCCAGTATTTTCACATATTTATATATAGTTTAATAAAAGTGGACAAAATGATCAAAATTTTATGACCAATTCTTGCACTATCATTTTGTTTTATTTTTAGTTTTTTAAAACTTACGACTGCTTTTGTTTAGAATTTTTATTAGGTCAGACACGATTCTGATCATGATAACGTCTTCTTCTTCTATTATCTATGGAGTCCACGTTCTTAAAAATGTATAATAGAAAATGGTCATCATATGATAATATCATATCACATCATATATTTAATCCAAACAATTATTAGAATTATGTGAACTGACAAACTATGTATATTATCTAAAAGCCTTGTAACACATGCAAGATTTTTTTTACATATACAAACTATGTATATTATCTAAAAGTCTTGTAACACATGCAAGATTTTTTTTACATATACAAACTAAATTATGTATATTATCTAAATTAATATTGTCATATCGTGTTAAATAGAGTGTTTGCAAACGTGTGAAATTCCAAAAGACTTTCATGGTGATATAAGATATATCCAAGGTCAGACTATCGGTGACAACTATGAAGTAAAAAGCTGGTGGGTATATGGCCCCGATAAAAGCAATCAACGCAGAGATGGAGAAATCAGGTTTCAGATATTATTACGCACCTAAACGCTACAAGTACAGTGGCAATGATTGTCCATTAAATCCTATTCCGCCATATAAGCTTGATGTACCAGAGATTTTACTAAGGGAACACGTGTTTGGATTTGCAATTAGAAAACAGTACTAAGGAATGTATTGCTAATTACCGGAGATCCTCATTTTAACACGGTAATCAATGGCTTAGTGGACGAGGAGAACAGTGTCATGCTCTCAAAGCCAGATGTCGATAACTCGACTAATAACTCGACTAGAAAGGTACCCTAAGATATATTCGATAGTTGGGACGGATAATATTAAAAGCTGGTTGGAGCTTAGGAGATATAGAAACTTCGCCTAAAATTTCTTGGTTATCCGAAAAAAAATTGTTATCATATACAATATATAATATATGATGTATGTTAAGAAAATAAAAACATGTAAAATCTAAAAATACTTCCAATAGATGAACTAATTTAATTTACGACTTTGCCATCCATTTTCTTCTCCAAACAAATGACCAGCATTTGGTCTTTCACCCCTATTAGTCTTTTAAAAAAAAAAATTGAACAAAACTAAAAGTATACCCCAAGTAAAAGAAAACACATCCATTAAAAGGACAAAATAGAGTACTAAATTAAACAAGAGAAATTTTAGGGGAGGATATAAGACAAAAACCAAAAGACAAAAAAGAAGAATAAAAAGAGAGTGAGGGAGAGAAGCATGTGGCGAGCATTTTAGGGTGTTTGGGTCAGGTGGAGTTTATATTCTCAAGGCGCACGCCTTCAACATTCTTAACACTACTAATCTCCAATTAATGGTTTAAACTTATGTATTTATATATATACACACCAAAAAAAAAGTTTTTTTTTAAAAAAAAGATAGATTCATAGATACAGAATGGAGTTAAGTTCTTTTCATTACCACTAGTCTGCAATCAGCATATACTAACACAAATAACATACTGAATACCGGTTATTCCAAAAAAAAAAAAGAAGAACAGATCCATTCTTCTATACGGATAATGTTCCTAGGTGCTAATTTATTATATAAGATATATATAGACACAAATAAAATAACCTTGAATTATAGATATTTTACAGAGACAGGCAGAGTTCATTGATTACAATAAAGAGGATGAATATATTATTAGTATTTCAAAAGAGTTCTCCAAGTAAAGCTAAAACTTTTTATCAAACTAAAAATGAAGTTACATTTTTTTTTTTTTAAATGTAGAGACTGAGAGAGATGGAGGTACTTTCTAAACACTTTTGCTAATAATCATCGCTTCATAATTGCAATTATCTTACGCTTTCTTTTCTCTCCTAATAAAATATACTATATGAGGTTTGAATATGTTGCAGGAACGGTAATTACCGTCTTCCGGCTCTGTTTTTCACAATTTCAACCCTCGAGATTCCACAGATTTTACCCCAAAAGATAAAAACTTTATAAAAAAAAGGACATGCAAAACAAAGACTGGAAAGTGGAAACAACACTGCCCAAGACACCATTCTTCTCATTAGAAATGCCCTTCTTGAGAACTACTAAAAACAATCAAGACGTCATGATTCTGTTGACAATGATGAAACCGGGCTTTTGAATCTTTTTTTATCAAGATCTTGTAATTATTTCAACACTCTGGATGATGATGGATCTGATTAGGGTTTTGCAATGGGAGAAGAGATGGGTGGAATAACGGAAACGCAGGAGAAACAGAGGAGAAGGAGAGACTGGTTGGGTCAAGCTTGGGTCTCAAGTTTTCTAAAGCCTTTACTTGCGCTCTAAGGAACTTGAGATAATTAGCAGCCTCATCAAGCATCGAAGCTGTGTCCATCTTAGTCCCACCTGGAACCAATGTCTGCAAAACCCTAATTTTCTCGCTTATCCTCTCTCTTCTCTGCCTCGCTGCAACCGTCTGAGGATCCGTCGATATCTTCACGTTCTTTCTCTTAGGTTTCTCCACAATCTCCAATCCGAAATTCACCGGTCTAAACGCAGCTGCTCTGTATATCATCTCTTTCATCTGCGCAATCGCTTCTGCGTCTGGCTCGACATTGTCAGACAATGAAGATGAATGTTGGAAACTGATGTTTGAAGAACCGCCTCGTTCTTTCTCCGTTCTCGGTTTCTTCGATTTCGACTGATTCTTATCGTAAATAAGCTTGAAATTTCCCTTCTCCGAGTCATCTTGAGGATGATGAACAAGACGGAAGTGACTTCCTGACTCGTCTCCTCCTCTGTTTCTCTTCAAAGACTTAGGCTTTATTGTCGTCTCTGTATTGATCTCTCTGTTCTCGGACTCTGCAGATGAGACTCCACCAAAGCTCCATAGAGTCTGACAATCTGAGAACAGCACAGAAATTCCTTCGTCGTCTTCCGTCGATGTGTTGTTGCTGTTCGTCGTCGCTGATAACAAACAATCGAGCGATGATGGATCTATCGATGTAGCTCTGTTTCCAACGTGTTGAAGATGTTGGATCTCGCTTATGACTCCAAGATCGGACATGAAACAGCTGCTAAGAGTTGGATTAATGAGTTGGTGAGAAGAAGTAGAAGAACAACAGAGTTGTTCTCGAGCCATTAGCTCATTTCCTCCCCAGATCAAATCTGATCCTTGATGCTCCATGATTTTGCTCTCTCGGGTCATTCCATACATAGCTTGAGCGTAGACTGATTCCAATCCTTCCATCGGATCAATCAACAACTCTGAAAACCCAAACAACAAAAAGAAACAAATATGAGAGATATACTTCAGAAACAGAGCATGTTTGTTTCTTCGAGTTTCATACAGAAAAAGAAAAGTATGATCTTTAACCAACCTTCTTGTGTTAATGGCTGCGCATGAAAAAAAGTAAAACTGGAAGAAGAGAACAAACAGATGAGTGCACAGGAAACTGATAACGTTTTCAGCTTTAAAGAGATTATACTCAAAAAGGAAAGAAGGAGAAACAGGGGAAAGAAACAGAAAGAAGAACTGCTTAAAAGGGAAAGAAAGTAAAACAGTCTGTAATGGAATTTATTTCTGTGCTGTAAAAAGCTCTGTTTCTGTTCTGTTCTATGATGAGCTCTGCTAAGAGTTATAGATGTTTTGCTATAAGAAAGACTTGAAAAGCCTATACACCTCTATGCATACCCAGATTTGTTATTATGCGCATATATATAGGTACATATTTATTCGTCAAAAGAAAAAATAATATACATGTATATATATATAATTATTTACTATATATTTATTATATTTAAAGGTCCCAGCTTTCGCAGAGATCAATTGTTCCTCTGTATCAAGCACTAGTTCTGTAGATTGGTATGGATTGTTAATTAAGAATTAGGATTAATACCCAACGGTCTGTTTTAAAATAAACTCATTTTGATTATATTTTAAACTTATTTATGTGAGCGCCGTCAAAAAATAGAGAGAACAACAACAACAACAAAAAAAGTCTCATCTATATGAGCATTTGATTGCTTAGCTAACTATTCAAAGATTAATCGTGCATTTACTTTAAGGTTTTTTTTTTATCTTTTTACCAAATTGTATGATAATTTGATTAACGCATAATCTATGGATGACATATGGATGATTTTGTTTGTGTATAGGTTAACAAATATATGCATTATGCGGCTGCGGGTTCGAATCTGAAATTATTACGATCCCTAAGAAACAAATTAAGCAAGAAATAAAAAACTGCACATGGATTTTCTAATGGTTACCTTAATGTAATAACTAAGAACTACATTTTTTTTTACCAAAAACATTTTTTTGGTCGAAAAAACTAGTAATAACTACTACATCCACTTTCCACCGTGATGATTTCACTAAGATCAAAATATCATAGAGTTACACATCGTTTATTTTCACTATCTCGTTAACGAAAAGTTGCCATAAACAAAAGCATATACGTAAAACTTTCTAAAATATCATAATTTTTTTTTTTTTTTGCAAAAGATATCTTTGATAAACTTTTTTAATTAATATATTTCTACACAGCTTCGCCTCTTAACTCCCACGTCGACATAATTGCTTAGATCGATCAAATTCTTTCGCCGGGTCACATTGGTTCCGAAATATAGATTAAACATTTAAACTCCACAACTCTCAACATATAGTGAAATATTGGTCAGCAAGAAAAACATATTGTGAAGTAGTAACAATTTTGATTTATACAAACGACGAAGCTACGTGTGTTGGTCAATGATTTAGCTTTTAATCAAATGTCTATGTCGTTTAAACCATTGGAGACTAATCTTGATCCACCAGATGAATTGCAATGTCCAAGTGAGACTGTTGAATACACGAATAATGAATCTCAAGTCGTCAACAGAAAATAGACGTTAGACTTTAGAACAAGTGTGCCGATAAAATTAAAACTTGAATCCTCTCCTCAACCAGATTTACTAACTTAATTTACTTAAATTTTCGTGAACACTTGATTCATGAATGTCACACGCGCAAAAAAAAAAAACTAATATAGGTTAATGAAATTATCTAAACCGAATCTATTAAGATTATATTATACTCTTGTTTTCTTTAGATATATATAAAATGAGGTTGGTGTGCATAATAATCTCTGCATTTCGAAGAGCATCTTTTTTTTTGTAACCCTAAAATATTATATATATAATATAATAATAATTAATAGAATCATAGAGTATATGATTATGCACTTGATGAAAAAGGTATATGCAATTTAAAATCTACGAGTGCTTGAGCAGAGAGAAAGGACTGACATCCTTTTAGCATCGTGCGAACTGAAAAGTTTACGGGAAATATCGAAACGATGTTGGGTTTTAGGGTTTAAATTATTTTTTTGGTGAATAAAATATCAATATTAACTCTATTATATGTTATATTTAATCATAGTTTTAATCATGATCAAGCTGCAAAAGTAACTCATAAATATCTACCATTTTCTTATTCTTCTATGGTGTTTAATTTACCTTTTCGCTATCATCATCAGTCAATAATAATCAATATCTACATCTCGATCTATCTTATAAAACTTTTTGTATAAGCTTTTTTAAAAACGTAATATTCAGTCAATTTTATACTATACTTTTTTAATCCTTTGGTTATTCCAATTCGTTGTCTGCAATGCAAACAACAAATAAAAATGGAATATCCGTTAAAAATAGCTCACTCAGTCAGAATTAAACACATTGCCAAATTAATGAAAAACACAATTATTTTTGGGACTGACTTACGTTCAATTAGCCTAATATTATATAATTTATTTATTTTCGCTGAAAGTATAAAAGTATATATTACAATGAAAATGAGCAGTACATATATGGATCTTATCATCTTTAATTGTAAAACACCAAATTTAGAATATATATATTTAATTTCGGTTTACGAAAGTAACCATACCATATTTATGTTGAATTAATATATTTCCTCAAAATAATTTTTATTTGACAATAGTCATTTTAAAGTTCGCCGAGGCCTCATGAAACAAAAACAATTGGGGATATTCTATAATTAGAAAATGATAACAGAAAAATATGGAAATTTTGTGGGGCTAAGAAGGTATAGCACCATCAGTGGGGGAATAAAAGAAGAGCTTTGGTTTAAGGGTAAATTACACAAAACATCGCATTCTGTAGAACGGCGAGAAAGAGAGAGCAAAGAAGGTGACATGACCTCTCTGCCCAACCACATGTCTTCCATAATCCCACAGCTCATTCAATTTTTTTTTTTTCTTTTTAAATAGTCAACTTTGCCATATCATTTTTTTCACTGGGTTTTCTCCTCTCTCACTTCATGATTTTCATTTTCTGAAGTGAATGTTAAATGAAATTAATGTTTTATTGTAGTAGATGTCACAGTCGTGCTCTGTAATCACATTTAGAAAACTTTATAGCACTTATCTTGCTCGCATGATCTATGAGATGAAGAACAAAACAATAGAATAAACAATAAGTGATTACATTGTATATAATGGATGCATATACTGAAAATAGAATTACAAAATTACAATAAATTAGAAAAACGTTACTAATCTACTAAAATTTACATTTTATAACGGTTGAAATTTTAACTGAATATTCTTTAATCTTTTGAAAATGTAAATTATTTAAATAATTTGTCTTTCTTGGAATGTCTATAAGGTGTAAATTAAATAAAGAACAATCACATATAGAGTAATAACTTTTGCATTATATGCATATAACCATGGTATATGGAAGGTAAAATAATTAAAGATCAACATCACATTCACAGTTGTTGACATCCTTAGGATACTCACAATGAAAGAGACCGTGCTTTGTCCTTACGCGTGAACGCAAATTTTCTTTCTGAATAATATCAAAATTTATATTGTTTTGAATAATACCAAAACGTATATTATTAATTGAGAGATCCATAAAAAAACAAAAATTCTCAAATCAATATTAATTATTCTCACACCTCAAGCGGGAACCAAAAATGTCGGTCGAGAACAACTTCTCACTATAAATTCACGAATTTGACTTCCCACGGTCATGGATCTATCCAGTGTACCAAAATTAAAATCGACCGTGTCGGTTTACTAAGTCAACTGTAGTGTAATTGCGAATTTAACACAGCCACAAAAACAAGTTCATGAAAACAAAATAATGTGTAGACCGGACTTACATAATCGAATGGAGATTGTAGAATCTATAGTTATGCAAAGAACTAAAGAACCGTAGGAGATTAGTGTAAAAAACAGAAGTTAAGGTTTTGTCGGGGGTATGTCCATGATTCTGCGCCCATAATTAAGAGATCAAAGTGGTCCATTGATCTTATAATTTAGTATATGTCAAAATATGAGACATTATGTCCCGAGTTAAGAGCAAAACGACGTCGGTTTAAAACCGATTACAATTCTTTCTCTTTCTGCTACTTTGGCTCGGTACGGTTTAAATGGTCCAGACCGAAGCTGTACAGTAAGTGAAGCTAGAGCTTCTCGACTCTTCTTCACTCTTCCATTATTGCTGGTTCACACGTGAACACAACGTTCTCCATATACACGTGGCTCTTTTTAATTGGTTCTGATCTTAGCGGATAGTCGTCCCACGTGGGAAATCAGCATGGCGTCATATTGTAAGGGACCCCAAGTTTTTATTTTTTGGTGTTTTTATATTTGTTTTCCCAATTTTACTCTTTGTTTTTTCATATGTCTGAATGTACCTAAAATAATACAATGTAACATCAGTCCCGTTAGTGTAATTGAATATTATCCTGTAGTAATAAATGAATCTTGACAAGGATACGAGCTTCAATTATCACTACAAGAAAGATCGGCTTTTACGTTGCCAGATATCGACGTAAAATCGACGTAAAAGAGCATTTACGTCGAATTAACGACGAATTAAAAATCATCATAAAACGATCGTCGTAAAACCGAAATCGTCGTAAAATCGTCGTAAAATTACCAACTCCGAAAAATCGTCGTAAAATCGTCGGGAACTATTCGTCGTAAATGCGTCGTAAATTTTCCAACGGATGTACAACAAAAAAATTCCATCATAAAAACGACGTAAAATCGATGTAAAATTACATCGATTTACCAACGATTAGGAGACGAACAATTTCAATTAAGAGAAACTAAATTTTTAATTGTCGATGTTAAATCGTCGTAAATTTTCGACGTAAAGCCGACGTAAACTTATTCGTCGTAAATTCGTCGTTAAATATTCGACGTTAAATCGACGTAAATTTACGACGAA